GTTGTCCAGATAATTTCTTTCTATTTTTAGTAGAGATGGGGTCTTGCTCTTGTTCAGGCTGGTCTCGAACTCCTGACCTCGAGCGATCCTCCCGTCTCGGCCTCCCAGAGTGCTAGGATTACAGGCGTGAGCCATTGCGCCTGGACAATCAACAATCATTTTAATGCTCTAGTTATTTTTTATAGACTTAATATTTATACCATACCATAATGAATGTAAATAGTGAAAATAATTTTAATGCTAGATTCCTAAACAAAATTTTGCCAAGTGTCACTCCACAGACTACTGGCCCCATATAACTACTCCAAGCATTCTGGAAAATAGCTTATGTGGCATTGCAAACACTATAAACCCTTCTAATGAGAGATCATGCATTGTTTTTATGTCCTAGGTTCACATAGGCATTCAATAAATGATAGCTTGAGTAGCAGCAGTCATTTATTAGAACAAATATGCTCACATGTCCTAGTCTGTTTGAACTACTATAACAAAATGCTGCAGACTGGGCAATTTACAAACAGCAGAAATTTATTGCTCACAGTTTTAGAGGACGGGAAGTTCGAGATGAAGGTGCCAGCAGATCTGGTGTCTGGTGAGGTCCTGTTCCTCACAGATTACGCTTTTCACATGGTGGATGGGACACACAGGCTCCCTCAAACCTTTTTTATATGGACACATATCCCATTCATGAAGGCAGGGCACTCATGACCTAATCACCTCCTAAAGGCCCTATCTCTTCATAATATTACATTGGGGATTAGGTTTCAACATATGAATTTTAGGGAGAAACAAACATTCAGAACATAGCAGCACAATAATTGGATAGTACTATATGTTTATATGTAAATTAAGATTAAATTTAAATTAAGATTGTCAGGACAAGTATTCAAATTGAATACATTATAGTTACATGAGTCAGGCATGTTTAGACTTTAATTCATATTTTATTCTACCTTTTAAAATGTTTTCTTACCTTCTTTTATTCTTTCCAGGTATGTCTGCATGTATTTATTCACCATTTGAACTTTCTTAATGATTTCATTCCATACCCACCATTTGTTGTGAAATCCATCAATCACATACCAGTTCTGATGTTGTTCTTGATAATATTGCCTAATCTCACCAATATTTTTGCGGTACTTTGCATTCTTGACAGCTATAATTTGTGTACTATTGTGCAATGGATAAGGCAAACTAATAGAGAAACAGAAAAGGAATGGAAAAAGCTGTTAAAAACATGCTTTTTCATACTTTTTTCCTCCTGTATGATTAAAGTTGTTTTCATCATGGTACATTACCTTTGTTGACTTTTTTTTTCCAGGAGCAATCTTTTGAAAATCTCCTTGGAAGGCACATCCAACTCAAAGACGACCATGGGAATGACTGACCTGGCTTCCAAGAGATTGACTTGATGTGTAGTTACAGGATATCCATCAATGACAACACTAACAGGAGAAATGTTAAAATTAAAAACCCACATTTCTTGTTCTCTCATGCTTCCCTTCTGCCTTCCAGAATGAGTCTATATCTTTAGGAGTAGCCAAATGCTTTTCCTTTTATAACTCGACTTATCTTCTTCACACTTTGCCCTCTTCATCTCTGCATCTTGAACTTCAGTTATCTTTAGCCTCAAGAGCCATGAGGCGGGCAGTAAACACACAAACACAGCTGGAAAGGTGGAGGTAGGGGAGAGCTGTGAATTCATACACATTTAGTTTCACAGAGCTAGGTTTTGGCAGCATTCAAGAGATAACGCACATAATACCTTGAACATCGTGTTCAATTGGTGCTATTAATCTAAGCATGAAACAGTAGGAAGGATGTAGGTTTTAAATGCAGAGAGACTTAGAGTTAAAACCTGGTTTGAACTCTCCGAGCCTCAATTTTCAGTAAAATAGGGGAAATGATATTAACAAGATATTTGATCTTGTTTTAAAGATTGGAGATCAGGTATGTAAAGCAACTAGAATGGGGCCTGGCACATATTAGGTAGGCAATAAACAGTATCTTAGTGAGAGACTAAACAGATATGGGCAAAATTGTGTTCTGAACTTGCTTTTGTAGTAAAAGTTCTGTGAGGAGGCTGGGGCCGCAGAAGCGGAGGTGGAAAATTGGTAGGAGGAGCTCTAGCAGATCTGGGTGGGGATCATTCCACCAGGACGCATGATGCACGCCTCTGAGCAGAGGTGACAAAGAGAATTTAAGTTCGTCCAACGGTTTGAGATAATGAGATTGTCACTATCACACCGAGAGGAGGAATAAGGGCTGTCCATAAATTCTGGAGGAGTGGGCCCCCAAGTCAGGACACTTGCTGGGAGCGGGGAGCAAGCTGCGCGAGCTGCCTGGCAGTCCTCAGGCGGCTTGTTTGGCATAAGTCGCAGGTGCCCTCCCTCAGTGCTCTCCAGCTAAGTTGCCAGGCACTAGTGTTAAATTCCACAGCAGAGGGAATTATAAATCCACAGAGCGAGGCTGGCCTAATAGGGAACGTATGAGGGTGCCATTGTGGTTTCTTTAAATAGAGAACAGCTCAACTTCTTTGTACTGTGACAGGTCACTGAGTAACCCTCAGGATTAAGGAAATTCAGGGTGAACAAGTAGTCATTGTGCTGGTATTAAGATGAAATAAAAAAAAAAAAAAGCCTTTTTGACTCAACCAAGGTCAGCTCACTGAGATCCTCCCTACATGAAGCTGAACACCAGGGAGGAGGTGACTCAATTTGGATAAGTTCCAGGGCTTTCTCTGGAGAAAAAGTCTGACACCCTAGTATCTGCTCTCCCATAACTGAAATTAGGAGAACTGTTCAAGGATTTGATTAAGGGCCAGTGGCAAGGAAGTGAAAGGAGGCTCTTACTATAAAACAACTGAATAAACTGGGGGAGGGGGGGTATGGGGGTGGAGCTCTAGGTCAGTGACCTGTGCTCAAGCCCAGGGCCTCAGATGTCACTGGGGAGGGCTTTTACTAATGGGTGTGGCCAGTGGCTGCGCTGGGGGAGCACCAGCTGAGCAGAGGAATGTACTGAAGAGAGAGCTCAAGCACACAGTGCTCTTGTCCAAATATGGCTTCAAGGCAGAGGCACTGCTACCTGTGCAGAGAGTGGGCCAGAGAGAACATCTCCACTGGACTAGCACCCTTTGGGGGCCAGAGGAGGGCAGCTCTTCTGTCCTTCCATGGGGCAGTGAGAAGTCCACTAGGGTGAGTCTCCTTTGTGGACTGTGTGAGCCTGGAGGCTTTTGGACAACTCAGGCGTTGCTGGAGGGAATGAGGTGTTACTGCCTGCTAATCTGCCATGTGAGTACTCGAGCCAAGTTGTAGCTTGACAGGAAATTAAAATATGTAACCATATAGGTGCCCAGAGTTTGAGAAGTAGGTCACATCCTTTATGAGAGCTTTAAGCCCTATTTAAGATAAACGTTTTAAATTCCTAGTGAGTGATTTCTTGAAAGATTTACCTCCCTCTGCCCCTCCTCTCACCCTACTCACTCACCCTGCAGTATTGCATACACTGTCCATCAGAGAAAGTTCTAGGGCTTGAATAGCCAGTTCATCGGGTGCTGTCATTCCCTTATGAAGATGCCAATTTAACATCAGTGCCAGCTCTGTTTCTGGGTGGTGGTTTAATATATAACGCAAAGTATCTCCTATTGATAAACGCTTTAAGCCATATTCACTTGCAATTTTTTTGGCAACTGAAAAACATAAAACTTTAAACTCATTTCATTTCACAAATTCACCAGTTAACCTTAGTTTTAGACTCTAAGATCTAAAACTAAGACATCAACAGCAAGCTAATCTTTACATTCCTCAACGAACTTTTCAACGTTAAAATCACCACGTTACCGAATTAACTGTCAAAGGTCAGTTATTATCAATACTTCAGGTATGTGGCTGATGGATGTGGTTAATGAGCTAACTTTGTGATTTTTTTTTTTTTCACAACCAAACCAGTGTTTAAGGTTTTCTTCCTTCTGCCTGAGGTAGCAAAATTTTTGAGAGCTTTGCAAGGCATTTTATGTGTTTTCCATATTTGGTATTATGCCCCAAATAACAATGTAACACTCTTGTTTCCCTGGATTGTACCATTCCCCTGTCTGTCCATTTACGGACTCCATGTTGCAATCGGGATAGCGTACTCCATACAGTGAGGTCTCAGTTAATCCTCTAGGAAATAATTTTTAAAAATTATAATGGCATACCTGACATTTTAATAGTGATTTATATCTTATGAGGAATTTTTCGTCTGTGACCTTGTTTGATATTTTCAACTATTCCATCAGATGGGTGGAATGGATATTGAAATTCCAATTTTATAGATGAGGGGAACTGAAGCCCACCAGAACAGAATGATTTGTCCAAGGTCACACAGACATTGCCATTGGCTGAAAGAGGACTCACACTGGCTTCTCCTAAGTGAGACCTTAGACAAACGGCTTCATAACTACTAGATGTGGGAGTGCTCCGTTGTTGTCTCTATGCCCTGCCCGAGCACTGTCTGGAGACAGCAATGGGTAGAGGATACTGACAGCCCATCTCATCCCATGAGGAATGTGATTAGCTGACCAGGGACCACAATCAGGACCAACCAAAAGGAAAGCCCCTGTGAGAGCTGCAGAGCTCTTAATCTCAGCTTTGCCACAAATACTGGAATGAGACCTAATCTTTTTGAAGTTCCAAAAATAATTAAGCTTTTAAAATTTGACATCTTGTTTAAAAATTAACTGCCATTTCAGCAAAGAAATGAGAAATCATATTGTTGTGTCTACATTTTCACCTTTTGCTCTGGATGTGGAATCTTATTATGAATGTCAATGTGCTGCTGTTTTTGGGAAAAACCATTAGCTTTGTGAACATTTAGAAAACAACTATTATAGACTCTTTTGTCATGTTAAGAAGTTTAAAAGGCCAAACAAACTTTCCATCTGAAGAGCTGGAACACAAAACTCTCCTTTATTATTCTTGGTGACAAATTAATCTTTGACCCTCTCTCTCCCCTTCATTCTCTATCCAGTCAGTCGTTAAGACTTACTGTTTTCCTTTGACATATATCCTGCATCTGTCCTTTCCATTACGTTCTCATTGTGACCAATCACGGTTCTTGTTATCATGTCATCTTGAAATACTACAACCAACCTATTTTGGGACTATTTGCCTTGAAAAAAAAACACTACTGCCCAAAGTTAAACAAAATTCAAACATTACCAGAATACAGTTTATCAAATGCCTTTTTCAGCAATGATTAAGATAATTGATTTTTTCTTTTTAAACTGTTAATGTAGTAGAGTATACTTATAAAATCTTTTAATAATAAAATTTTTATGCTAATACAATCTTGTAATACACTGTTACAATCAGTTTCATAATTTTTATTTAGGATATTTGACTGTAATTATAAACATTAGTTTTTAATTTCTTTTCTTGTTATCTTATTATGTTTTGATATTGGGATTATGTTAATTCCAAAATGGATTTGTGTTCTTTATATCTTTTTGATTATATGAACTATATTCTTTAATAAAAGAAAGAAAAGAAAAATAAAATGGGAAGCTCACTATTTTTTTCCCCGCTATGGAAGAGCTTATAAAAACACAGGCATGATCTCTTGAATTTTTAATTTTTTGAAAGTTTGATACAATTTTTCTCTAAAACCATTTGATCCTATTTAGGAGTTGGGTTATATTTTGCGATGCCTTCTCTTCAATGGTTATTGGTCTATTTAGGTTTTCTATCTCTTTTTGAGTCAATTTTGATAGTCGGTTTCCTGAAGAAGTGGCACTAGTTTCAGGGGATCCTTTTATGCTTGAGGAAGACAAAGGCAAACATACGCTCACCTGTAGTTTTCCCAGATTTTGGAGGCCCCACAATTATAATCTTAATAGGCACAGTAGGCTTAGGTTTGGGTTGGCGGATATATTTGATTGGGTTCTTCATAAATTTCTCTTTAGTTTCCTTACTAGATAAAAAATAAATGTACTGACGATGAATCACGGGATAAACTGGATTCTCTGCATTTTCAACTGGCTTGATTGTCTCTCCTTCACTTAGCTGCAACATATACACAATTGCAATTGAAAGTTAGTTTTGATTTAAACAGCATTTCCCCCAAAGACATTTAAAAAAAGCAATTTGTAAAATAAGAAAAAATTTTTTCTTATAGAATCAGAAAACTAATTCTAATCAAATATTAATATTAGATAACTGTGGAAAAGTAGAAATTAGTTTCAACTCACATGCAATCAATGTAGTATTTCTTAACTAGTTTTCAGTTTATGACAATTATAATTCTTTTACTTCCTTTATAATATCAGTGTACGCTGAATATTTCTGCCAAGGGGTGTGAGGTTGCTTGCATTTATTGATAGGCCAATTTATCTTCACAAACAGGTCCATTCCCAAGGTGGTGTTATGGACTGAATTTTCTCTCCCCCACCCCTCAATTCATATGTTGAAGCCCCACCCCCAAAGTGACTGTATTTGAAGACAGGGCCTTTAACAAAGAAGGTAAATAAATGATGGGACCCTAATCTGATAGGACTGGTTTCCGTATAAGAAGAGGAAGACACGAGGGGTGAGCACATAGAGAAAAGGCCATGCAGGACACAGTGAGAAGGCAGGACCTGCAAGCCAAGGAGGCAGGCCTCACCAGAAAACAATCCCTGCCGGCACCTTGATCTTGGACTTTTAGCCTCTGGAAACGTGAGAAAGTAAATTTCAGTTGTTTCAGTTACCCAGTCTGTGGTATTTTGTTAAGGCAGGCAGAACAGACTAACACAAATGGGTTCCTCGATTACCTTTTGGGGTACACTGGCAGGGCAAATCCCACTGTTCTCTTCTGCATTTTTGTACAGATGAAATCCCACTCACATAAACATGAAGACCAGCCATGAAAGGAAAAAATCCCCACAAAAGGCAGCCTGAGGTATGGGTGTGGAATGGAGTGGGAGGAGTGGTCCCGCGTCTTTGCACTGAGGCTGATGAGGTCTGGGTGCTGGGTTTAAATATCTTTTTACAGCATCAGGCATCAGGTGGCCAAGCATCAGCCACCTCTGGACTTGACAGAGTGGGTATGAAACAGTGTGCTAATATTGCTTCTCCTAAGAGCTACGCCATGACAGGTGTTAAAGGTCAGTGGTAGTGTCAACATCACCATTCTCGGGCTGGAGTCACGTTCATGACTGGAAGTAAATGCTGGAGACAAGGGGGAACTCAGGTGTGGGTGGGGGTCTCTGCTCTATGTCATATAGTTGGTAATGAAAGCTGAAAGTTTAATGATTCCATTTCAAATTCCCAAGTATTTTTATAGCTAGAATACTACATGATTCTTACAGTTTTTGATATTATCCAGTCTTCTTCCCAGACATACCTTTTTTAAAAAAAATAAGGGAAGAACATGGCTTTCAGATACATTTGCTGAAATTACCTTTACAGGGTCCCAATAGCCAAATGAGCTTGTATACTTATAGGTAAAGTTGAGCATTTTCTGTGCAATGTGTGTCGATATTGGATAACATTTCTCAAAAATGCTTGCACGATTTTCCACCAGTGGTTTCATTCTCAGATTCAACATATATTGTACAATGTGGATTTTCCGAGCTCCATTAATAAGAATTATTGGTATCAAAAACTTCTCAAAATCATCCTGATGAGAGAAATCATACAGCCAAATATATTTAGTGGGAAAAAGGCTGGTAGTATTCAGTCACAGCATATAGACACTGCTGGTGACTGACTACTTCAGTTTAGAAAACAAATATTTTTCAGCTTCCAAGTGGCTGTGATTGGTAGCTAAACTTACTCTGACTCTGTATGTGCTCTCTATTTTGGAGACAGGGTCACAGGGTCTTGCTCTGTCCCCCTGGCTGGAGTGCAGTGGCATCATCATAGCTCACAGCAATCTCAAACTCCTGGGCTCAAGTAATCCTCCTGTCTCAGCCTCCTGAGTAGCTGGGACTACAGGTGCATGCCACCACGCCCAGCTACCATGTTGCTCTTATTTGTGGACTTGTTTTCATAATCATTAAATGGTACAGACAAAAGGGAATACAGCCCTAAAATATACATTTCTGTTGAAATGTTTAAAAGAAATAAGGCATAAGCCAAACTGCTTTTGTCTCATTCTCAAATGTTACTTTTTGAATGATGAAAAATGAAGAAAAAGTAATAACCTGTATAATTTGTAAATTATGCAAATCTGCTTCAAATTTCTCTCCCAGTTCACCTCTCAGGCGTTCAATCGCTTCACTTTCCTGTTCATCTTCCTCGGTCATCTCTTCCTCATCTTTTGGAAACTCCTCCTCAAGGATGTTGTCAATATCATCTTCATCATCTTCAGGCTCCTCTTCACTAATGTCTTCATCTTCTTTACTAGAACTCTAAGGAGGAAAATATTCCCTTTTACTATATACATATAAAATATGTAACAAATGACACCGTTAACCAATCATCTGGAATGTTTTGTAATAACCGGATATTGGCTAGTATTGTATCGCAACATTCATCTAGTAACAGAATAAGGTTTTAAATATTAATATCTGGTATCCAGAAATTTAATACCTTCAAGACTCTGACACCATAGTGATCCCATAAGTAAATGAATAGACAAGATATTAAATACTGCTTATGTCTATGACTGCCAAAATGTTACATGATTTTGATGGTCTTCCAGAACAATAATGCAGTTCAAAGAGTATAAAACAGTTACTAGCTGTATTAATTGGGACAAGATGAGTTTCCTTACCTGTAAAATGGGAATAATAAAGATACCTACCTCACAGGATTGTTGGGGGCATTAAAATTAGTTAATACATGAAAGGCCCTGAGAAAAGTGTCTGGCACATGGTAGGTATATGAATGATTGCTATTATTGCTGTTAACGCGAGTATAGCTGTTATCGTCATCTTTTGAAATGCACTGTACTAACAGAACAGTAAACGCCATTTAGGAGGCTATAGTCCATCTAAGGAAACAAGAATAATACATGAATGCTTATTAAAGACCGTGCCAGGATATTGGTACTAAGCTGTGTTGCATAGGCTTTAAGTGCTATGGTTCACTTTGCATGAAACTGAACCCTTTAATATTTATCCTCCTGCACTGTTCCACACTGTTCTTCCTGCAGCATTCCATGTCTCCATTAGAGCACTGCCCTCCAGTCTGCAACCTGGGAGTCATCCTGAACCTGGGAGTTATCTTGTCTCCTCGCTCTCCATCCCTGCCCATCCAGGACTGTCATCTTAAATAACAGCCAACTCTCTCCTTTCCCTGACCCTCTCCACTGTCTTATTATCTCTTAGCTGCAATCTTCTGATTAGCTGGCTATTCCCTAATCTTTCTAAATGATGGGGCCTTTGGTTCCTGGAAAGGTGCCTGTAGCTGGGATTTGGGGGAAGATGAGGGCACAAGGGCCCATTCCTGCTCCTGCCCAGGCTCCCTTCTCCTCGAAAGGAGCTTGGCCATGGGACAGGGGTTCTCAGTTCTGGCGCCTTTTAAAGAGTTTTGAAATCATTTGTTCCTTTTACTACTTTTCCTTTTTCTTATATTTTGACAATTTTTTTTTAATTCTGAGATTTAATTTTCTAAGGATTATTGCAATTATGGTGGGATGAGTCCACACTACAAACTGGGGATATCTCAGTTCTAGATGAAATTGTGGTCACCTCTCTGGCTCTACTTATTAGTTCTTCTTTTTTTTTTTTTTTATTAAACTATATAATTTTAAGAAAAAACTCATCTTTGTTATAAAGAAATCAAATTTTATAGTGTTATATAGGGTAAAATGTAAAAATCTCTCTTTACATTCCCATCTCTATTTCTACTCTCCTACTTGGAAATAATTTTGGTTAATAATTTGTTTAGAATACTTTTGGATGTTTTTCATATATATACATATAATTATATTCTATTTTAAACATAAATGGGATCATTTTATTTTCTACAACTTATTTTTTAAAATTAGCAATATACTTAAATTTCTTTCCATATCACAACATACATCTCATTATTTTTAACAGCCACATAGTATTTCATAGTATCACAGTTTATTTAACCATTTTTATATTTTAAAAATGTGTTTTTTCCTATAGAATCCAGTTTAGAAGGGAACAAAATAAACAATAAAAGGAGCCACTTTTGACCCTTGTGATAATTTGGTTCCTCTTGCCTGCTAGTGACGATGAGAAATTTAGCTGACATTATTCCTCATCTCTTTTCTTTTCTGCTTGTTCCCAGTTTTAGTCATATTTTTATTCTTAATTTTGCAATTGAATGTCTGCAACTTTAAAAACTATCCCCAAATCTCTATTTATTGAGTTGTCCTCTTTAGGTGTAAATCTTGATTCCCTATCGAGAGGATGTTCCTCCTCTGCCTTCTAATTCTCCCTCTCTTCAGTCTCCAAACTTTTTGTCTCCCATATTATTACATTTACATTTCTGTCCTGTAACGCTAGTTCAGTATTTAGTGCTTCATGTAGAAATTGATTCCAAAAATTGAAAGTAGACAAACAGGACTGTATTGTTTCCCAGGCACCAGAGAGGGAGCCAGTGTGTACGCAAGGCAGAGTTGGCTTACAGTCGCAGCCTCAGACTGAACGTCCACAAGATGGCGACACTGTCCTGTGAAATTAATGCAAGTAGTCACTGGGATGTTGACGTGGTTTCTAACGTTTAAATGTTTCATTTGGTGCTAAAAAGTGAGACGGTAAAGGCAATGATTTTGTTAAGGCAGGAAGACAAACCTGGGAAGGACGTTATCTGCATGTGATTTCCCAGTTAGTTTTAAAAAGATGAGTCGCGGAGCTGCATATTCTGCACCAAGAGGCAAATGATGAGAAATCCTCTGGATCTGTGGATGAGAGCAAGCTCAGGGTGTCACCTGGAGGTCAGTGTGGATTCAAGTCAGGATGTCACATCAAGTGATTGTAACAATCGCACTAGGCGATCCCCGAGATGCTGTATTTTGTTAGTGTTTTGTTGTCTAAGGTAGTATTAATTGCAAGATGTATCTTACAAAAGTTCTATCAAAGGAATTGAAAAAAAATAAATACATAAGCAGTTTTAATCTTTAATTCATCAAAAATCTCAGGAGTTGTGTTCCAGAAGTTTGTACAAATTAATTGTGTGGGATACATAGCCAATTTTATAAAAGATTAAGTCTTAGGAGAGCCAATTTACAAAATCTTATTTAACCTATAGCTATAAATATTGAATCCTTGATTGAAAAATAAGAAGAAATCACACCATTCTAATGTTAACAAATGGAAAAATTATAAAGATCATTTTAATTTTATCCTGAAAACTAATTCTTAAGAAAAAAGATTTAGGCTGGGCACGGTGGCTCACGCCTGTAATCCTAGCACTCTGGGAGGCCGAGGCAGGCGGATCATTTGAGCTCAGGAGTTCGAGACCAGCCTGAGCAAGAGCGAGACCCCATCTCTACTAAAAGAATAGAAAGAAATTATCTGG